AAGTGCTTAATTATGTCAGAAACTTTCAAACTAGTTATGAGATGTACGAGGCGATGTGATTTATTAAAATGATAATTATTACAAGTAGGGATTTTTTCGTTTCCGAATGTTTTACTTATAGTCAGTTTATCTTAGAAATTTGCCTCTTCAGTGCGGCAATCAAATGACCAGGGGAGAGTAGGTGTCCGCCCATTATGGCAGATGTTCACGATATCTTTAAAAAAACAGATTGGGCTTGAATGCAATACATTGTTCTACGGAATCTACTTTTTAATTTTTATAAAAGTGTAAAAAATAAACTGTTAACTATTTGGAGGGTACACGTGATATGTTTGGGAGCCATGTTAAGACCACCCAATAAGATACTGTAAACCAGTCTTATTGAATACCTATCCTAGAATAGATGATCTAATCTAATTATTTATAGTGAATATATGAATATAAATCATTGCATGAATATAAATAGTTGTGAGTATCTATACTATAAAATCATTACATCTGTAGTATGAACTTGTTTGTTGTGGAGCCACGAGTTCTACTAAAGTGATTCTTGATAGGTACCTTGCAGTAATAGTTAGCACAATAAGCGGCAATCACATGGTTTTGACCATACTCACTTATTGTGACATCTACCATCAATTGACCACGTGATGTAGCAATGCATGGCTAATCACAGTCCATGTAGAAGACATAAAACTGCTTTTATTTGGTACTTCTGACCTCTCCCCTTTATTGTGTTGCCCACAACCTATGTGTGTGTGTCTTTTTCAACGTAGAATACGATTTGTTCATTGAAATCTATGTCTCTGCCTGTTTGCTGCTGGCTGCCCATGTGTAACAATATTTGCCCACTCCAATGGAGGATATGATTTTAACACTCCCGTGATTAACAATGTATGACTGTCGTACATGTAGTCAAGGCAATTTAGCGACAAATAGTGCTTAACCTCCCACCCCTCCTCCATGGAAACATGTCACAAATACCCTTTATCTTGTCAGTTGCTATACAATTCCCACTTTATTTCTTCATAAAAGTGCAGGTGCCGACTTGTGCTAAAAATATCTATTCAATACTTTGAGAGAAAGTGCAGCTCTCTAGCTTAGTCAAGTCTTGCTCGTGTGGAGCAGCTTTTCCAACTTTTGAAAAACTCGGGCCTTGAAACAAATGGTGAAAAAACACCATACTAAGATGTGGTGTATTACCCCACCAGTATAGAAATAATGAGTATATGAGCTGTACAAGTTGACGCCCAGTGATAAGAAACTATTATTAGATGGCAAAGAAAACACACATACTTCTTTAGTGTCCAATATTGAAGACAGTGTATCCGAATGACAGCAATTGGCACCACTAAATGATGTAAGATAGACCATATCTTGTGTTGTAGTATACTTGGTCGGAAACACCTAAATCATGTAATTTAAAACGTAAAAAAAATTAAAATAATATTTCAATTAATACATTCATCATGTAAATTTCACCAATGTTAGTGTAGTTGAGTTAACAGGCGAGGGTACGTATGCTGATATTAAGAATAATTAAACATGACCTCATTATCATTTTTGCAAAGGCATTGTGGGAAATCCGTGACATGGTCAAAACGAACATGCCAATTGAGATAAGGTAAGACATGATAATATCATATATATATTATTTCCGGGATATTATTGAAATCAGAAGTACAATAAATGTTTAACTAACTGGTCACAGATAGATAAGGAATTGTGTGCGCTCGAGATAGGTACGTCACACCCATACAGTATCATACATTTTGGGCAAGGTATCGAATATTCTACGTTTTATTTTTGAAAGTGTTATGCCAGCCTGCAACTGAAGAATAATGAATCAGTAAAAATCATTATAACAAATTGAATATAATTATTTACGGTCAGGTATTCGGTAATAGAAAATTAAATTCGAATTCTTTTAAACAAAGATAAATGTTGGGTGACCTAGTTATAAGGGATTTCCCCATCAGTAGTTTGTCACGTGATCCTACCAGCTGACTAGCTTGGATTGAATAAAATAATGATAATAATAATAATAATAATAATAATAATAATAATAATAATAATAATAATAATAATAATAATAATAATAATAATAATAATCTTCATTATAGTCGTGAAGAAATTACAAATCTTCTTTGGTTTGTAAGTAATATTTTTATGTTGATATTGCGTGAAGTTAGTTTTCATATTTTAGTAAAAGTATTGTTTATGTATCTGATAACATGTCTAAGCAGAGATGGCTCTATAGTGTTTAAAATCATTTTAAATTTGTCTATGTAGTTCTGTGTTGAGAAATTATTGTACATTCTGTTAAATTGTTCATAAAGTTCCCGTCTTTCATTTGTATATATATTTGATAGTGTATTATGATTTTTTTTTCGCCCTCTGTTGTTACAAAGAATTTAAAAGAATTTACATATTTTGTAAATTCTTTCATCAGTTGGTATGTTTGGACGTATATGTCTCCTAACTTCAATTTCTAGGCTATGGCAGCTTAGTCTTAGTTGTTTTGATATCTTGATATGTTTTCATAATATTTAAATAGGGTGTACATTCAATTGCATAATTTAAAAGTGTGTGCGTAGTTTAGAGTTTTCTCTATTGTTGGTCTCATTCTAGATCTTTGTATGTTTGGTGTTCTCTTGATAAGCTATGGAATTTCTGTCAATGTCAATATTGTAGTTGTTTTTGATTATATTTAGTTAATGTAGTCAGTTTTTGTAACAATTTTGTTTTAGTTCAATTATAGCATCATATGCAAAAGTTATTAGCCCATTATGAATCAGGTTTTGATAATACTTGATTGCCCTGTGCTGAATAATTGATAACAACGGTAATCTACCAGTTTCCATTGTGCTACCAATAGTGTTGCATTTGTTATTGACATTCAGTAAATCACGACAGATTTTTAGATGATATTTTGCAATACCCAGTCCCACTGTTCTATTGTTGTGTTTATTTTCATATAGCTGTAGGGATTTAAAAAAGGTTTTGTCTGCAGTTTTATGTTGTTCTGCTTTTCTGGCTTTGTCGGTTAAAAGTTCCATTGTCTTTGTCATGGTTTCATTTGAATTAAATGTGATTCCTAGGTATGTGTATTGAATGGTGTTCTTGTTCAGTGTTATGTTTCCATAGGAGAATAGTGTATCTTCTGGTTTGCACCCATTTATGGTGAAAGTCATAAATTCTTCTTTGTGTTCACTGTTAGTTCCCACTTCTGTGTGTATTGCTGTAGAATATTAATACTGGCTTGTAATCCTGATTTGAATGTGGATGTGAACACTATGTCATCTGCATATAATAGGTTTGATAAAGGCTGGTTGTTGAGTTCAGAGATGTCAGTTCCTATCAAGTTCTGTTTATATGTCAAACGTTCCATCCAGTTTAACTTGAAATGTTTCTGTACATGTCTTGTATCACACTGTAAAATGATCCACATATGTTGTATTTCTGAAGTTTGTATAACAGTCTATCTCTCAAGACAATGTCAAAACACTTCCTAAGGTCCACAAAGCAGGTGTAAAGTGCATTTTTTTGCTGTTTGGTATTTTGTAATCATTGTACTCAGAGTCAAAATGTGGCCATAGTTCGGTGATGTTTCCTGCAGCCAGCATGGTCATTGTGTATTGCATTTCTAGGTATTTAACAATTCCGGTGTTTATAACAATTGCAAAAATGTTCGCTACATTGCTGCTTGTGGCAATGTCATAGTAGTTAGATGGATTTGATGTATTGCCTTTTTTATGTATTGAAGTGATTATTTTCCTATTCAATAATTCTGGGTAGTGTTCTTTAGAAATCATAAGACAATATAGTTTTTGAAGTGCTAACGTATTGGTCTTCCATGTTTGAACATCTCTGAAGGTATTCCATCAATACCACTGGCTTTCCTAGTTTTCAATTATCTTAATACAACATTTATGTTTCACATACTTTTTTAATAGTTTCTGCTTTTTGTGATATTGGATCCTAATTTGTTGGTTATATGGTGGTGCAATCCATTATATTGTGTATGTGTTCCATGCAATTTCTATAGTGATGCTTTGTATGGTTGATGGAAAGACACTACTACATGTTTTATAGTGTCAATAGTAGCACCATTGTAGGTTAATATCATTTGATTCCTGGACAATTCTCTGTTTTTTAACTTGAGATGATTTGGAATCACTCATTATCAAGTGCTGAACTCCATAATGTGTGTGACGTTGACCATAATTGTTATGGCCGTTGACTTTGTCTGATAGTGGTGATGGTGCTCGTTGATGGGTACTTGATTTTTCATTTGATGGTTCAACTTGAATATTTGTTATCTTTTCATCTGGTCCATCTACTGTTTTTGTTTTTCTAAGGAAGTAGTAGGTTTTTGTGCTGTCTTCCATTGGATGTTGGATGTTGGGATAATATGGGTGATGGTAACACAAAATTCTGTTCTTATGTTTGTATGTTTTCTAGTTAGCGCTGTCATCAGAGTCTCAATTTTGAATCCAGGAGATAATCTGCTGTTCTAATTATATACACAGTGTGTTGGTTTCGATTGTCATCTTATTCATCTGCACACTGAACTTGTCTCTGTCTCTCGCCTGAATTCTCAGTTGTACTAGTTGTTATTTTGCTTTAAATTCTTTCTGTGGTAATTAAATGTCTGATTCTTGTGGATATTTGTCCGTGATTTTGATTTCTTAATTGCTAAGTAAACTTTGTTAGTTTGTTTTGTTTGATGACATTGTGGTGTTACTGCAAATTGTTTTGAGGTGCTTTTGTTGGTTTTCAGTCTTTCCTACAGGAATTCTACATGATGTGTCATTTTTAATATAATAATTAACTATGGTATCTTTGCTTATTTTCTATTGAGAATCCTCTTCGACTTTTAGTGAAATTTTAGTGTTGTATACTGGTGTGTTACTTTTCTTTGTTGTAGATTCGTGTCTTCGATGTCAAGATCGGAATCAGAATCGTCATTGTCATTGATTCTAAATCTGATTGTTTTCCTAATAGGATTTCTCCTTTAATTTATGCCGTAGTCGTTGTTCATTGGAGATGTGTATATTAAGTTGTAGCTGTACTTGCATGTGTTTCATTGGAGTAATTGAGAATCCTTCTTTGAGAATCCATTGTTGATAAGAATTTCCTTGGATCAAGAGAGTACCGCTTTCAATGAGTCTGTGCACTAAACACAAACAAATTTTGTAAACACGGAAGTTATTCTAATTTTAAGTAACAGCGAGTATTTCCTTGATTTACCCAGAATTCTGTGCGAATCCCCTTTGATTCTGGCTACTGGCCATTTTCGTTCATTCGTATCCGACTCGGATATCATCAGAAAACGCGGGATTTGTGCAGTTTTGAATAAAACAAAGTTAGCGATTATGAAGAATGGTTATTAACGTAACATCCGATCACCTCTGAACCTTTTGTTTCGCATTTTAATGTAAGAAATCCACATTTGAAACGGACATGGTGTCGATTTCACTACTTGCCATATTTTATTTTAAAAATAATATTTATTCATTTTCAGCCCCCAAGTGACTGTGGTATTTTCTTCTTGTTTATCGTGGTAGCATTGTTGATATTCTTTATAAACCTTTTTATTTAGCCATAGATCTGTGTACTGCTTATCTGATGTTACAGTAAATTCACAAAGCTATGTTCCAAGCGTAGTTTTAAAAATAGTATTGTATTGTTGAAAGCACGGGTTCGAAGGTCATCCTTGCAATTTGCATACCAGACACATGTACGTTTATTTATTCACCGTATTACTCTTATCCATATTATTATTGGATTCTTCCAGAACTTCATAGTGACATACATATACAGGTAATATTACTAGGTATATTCATGAACATATGATGTGTTGACATTGCTGTAACATACAGCAATTTATATATTTACTGCCTCAATGAAATACAAACAACACGTTCGATTTTTCTTTTTTGTTTCTTTGTGGTTTTTGTGTTTTTTTGTAAGTGGATGGCTTTAAGTTTTAGTGTGGGGTTATGTTATAGGAAAATACCATATGTAAATTATAATGAGTGATTTGAAAGTATTGTCGTTAAACGTTCAGGGGTGCTCTACTCCAGAAAAACGAAGGGATGTTTTCTGTTGGTTAAAAACACAGATTTTAATATTTATTGTTTGCAAGATATACACTGCAAAATCGGGGATGAGGATATATGGGAATCGGAATGGGGGCAGAAGTGTTTTTTTAGTGCGTATCGAAGTAATTCCCGAGGTGTGGGAATTTTTTTTAACAAAGTTGATGAATATACGATACATAAATGTAGAGGCGACGCTGGTAATTTTCTATTTCTCGATTTAACTTTTCATTCACAACGGTTCACATTGGGTACCATTTATGGCCCCAATGAGGACAATCCAACTTTTTACCAAAAAATACAGAATATCCTGGATGACTTCGGGAATTTGAGTATAATTATTTGTGGGGACTGGAATGTCTCACC